AAGAGTTTAGTAAACATCTGTTAAGCCGCGTCCACATGCTGGGCGCTTGCCACAAGCACCGAGAATCTTAAACACGTGCCAAACACCGAACACAAACTAAATACATTAAATAAATAAATTAAATTAAAATAAAAAAGCCTTTCATTTCTTGCGCTTACTGTAAATGCTATTAAAACAATTTAAGAAAGTAGGTATTTATTAATTATTAATAAAATCCTTTCATATTCAGTTATATTATAATAATAGTATTAGATCTAATGTTATATTAATTATTATGTATATAAAGAATGTTTAGTAATTTAATTTTTACAATACCTAATATGAATTAGAATTTATAATTAATAAAAATAATTACAATAAATAATTATAACTTAAAATCAATATATATAATAAAATAATTCATAAGTTTAACAATCATTTACAATATTTTTATTTATTTGAAGTAGTTTTTTTTAAGTTTTTATTTTCCATTTTTAGTGTAGATATAGTAGGTACCTAGTACCAAAGTAAGAAGAGGTCAAACAATAAAAAAATATATTTATACGTGTCGAATTGAGAACCTTCTCCTTTTTTTCGTGGATTTAAAATGATTTCATGTTAAAAAATGTTAGGTATGTAATGTTATCTGCTGCACTGCTGTGTGGAAGCGCCATTATATCGCGTAGGTACTGTGTGTAAACTACTGTAGTGACTAGTGCGTGTGCGAGTATTCGCAATAATTATAATGTCATCTCTTACTATGCTATTACAATTAATAATGTGCCAACTTCACTGTGCGTTAAAGTCGATAATTCATTGATTAAATCTGATTTTCATTCTGAACTTTTAAAACATTAATAATATATTTTAAAATTTTTAATATTCTTTCACTTTTGACACAATATTTTTGTACTTTGTTGCGTTCGTCTAGATTCACATTGCGCGCGAAAGCACCGTAGTTTTTTGAAGTTGGTTTAAATTTTTTTAAAACCTTTTTTATTTCGTAATTTTTAGTTTTAAGTAAAAACTGAAATAGTTATTGTAAAAAGTAGTAATTACAAAAAATACACTTTTTTATCCATATCTTCAAAACCACTGAACCGATTTTGATGAAATTCTTACTATTCCCTAAGTTAAAATAAATGTAAGCAAATAAAAAGGCATCATCACGTCGGTCGGAATAGTAGTTTCAGCGAAATGCGTGGACAAACATACATACACACAAACAAACAAACAAACAAACAAACAAACAAACATACATACATACATACATACATCTATACACCTATAAAATTTTGTATATTTGCTTCGAAGCCCTAATATATAATATTATGTTAATATCTTGCAGTTCTAATAATATTATATACATACGTGTCGAATTGATAACCCCCTTTTTTTTAAAGTCGGTCAATTAAAACTATATCTCCCGCTATGCTGTCCTCGGGAACCGATGACAGTGATAACCTGTTAAAATCGGAACGATCGGATCGGATGAACTATCGGAACTAGATAGTTCCGCGAACATGTTTCGTGAACATAGTTCCTTTATGGAAAGGAACTATTCCATGTTCAATCCACTCCAGGACCTAGTATGCGCATCTCTGCAACTAATTAGCAACAAATTAGCCACAAAATACCGTATATGTTACGAACGATTCTGCTAACCTTTCACTGCTATCTTAACACACCTGCCCTTTTATCACTTATTACACGACAAAATTAGTTTATTTTATGCTCAATGAGTGATACACGAAAACTTTAGAAATTTTATTAACTATATAATAAAATAAAATTTTAATTAAATGCTGACAAAATTAAAAACAAACGCATCAAAAATTGTTTAAATTTCAACTGAAGCGCGCGTGATTCGCTATTGTTTTTGTGTAATTTAAAATATTTAAACTAGTGAATTTGTGCCGTAAACGTATGAATATTTATTGTTAGAATTTTTTGCGGCTATTGAGATACTAATAAGTGTATAATCACGTTATAAAATTAGTTTTTTTGTCCAACGAATTTTGATGTATATAATTCGTAAAATAAGTCGCCATTATATAACATGAATTTTGACTTTTATTCTCTGCTTTGGTGCCTCATGAAAGTAAATCACTAAAGAAAAACTAATATAATTTCATATTTTCAATTGTTTGTAGCATATTTCAATAGTTTTATTATATAAATTATGTTTATTTACAAAATATAATACCTATGAGCTGTCAAATTTGACATTTTGAACTCTCATCAAAGACCAGTTAGACATTGACACATGTCGATATGTGCTATCGATAATATCGATATTTTAATATAAACATGTTGAAAAAGTAAGATTGGTTTTTTACTTTTTGTTAGACACAGTGGGGAATAAAATGCAAAAAAATACTCATATGTTTTATAAAATATGGTAGGTATATGTAAGAGCCTAAATACAAAGTCAAACATATTATACGACACTAAAATAGGAATACAAAGACGCTCGTCTATATCCATATAAATAAAAATAAATGACAAAATGTTGCTAAGCTCAAAACTCTATAACGGCTGTACTAATTAGCCTAATTATTTTTTCAAATATTCGTCGGGGAAGGTTCTTATGAAGAGAAAAATTAGAAAAAAATCACGGAAAAACGTAAAAATCACATTTTTCTTTTTCCTTACCACTACATTACAATAATGAACGCAACCTCACAATTAATGTAAACTATTTGAATGCATTTGTATATTTGACACTCTCTCTTTCTACGATATACAATTTGACGTTGAATTTATTTGTTTGTTTGTTTGTCCTCCTTTAACGTCGAAATAAAATGCCAGATTGTCGTGGTTTTTGTGTCAAGATAGTTAGAAGGCCAGAGAGTGAAATAGGCTACTTTTTACCATAAGAGATTAGTTATATCTATTCCACGCCGGAGCGAAGGGAGGGTGAGTCGCTAGTCTGAAATAAAATAAGCGTTCCTTGACTGTCTCGTTGGACTAATAGTAGTGTAAAAAGCTATTGAAGTAGTGTATATTGAGTTGTTCTGCTGAGAAATATTCAGTAATAATAGGTTAGGAAAGTGTGTACCATTTGAGAGGTTTTAAATATTGTACTTATAGTGTTTTTCACATTGTTCAACACTATAAGAAACAAACTATAAGAGCTATATTATTAAAATTCTCTTTGTAAAATTATTATTTTAAAAACAAAAAGATAGGGACATATAAAACTACATCAACCTAATGAAAAATAACACCATATAAACGATGTAAATATTTAAATTGAGTTATATATTTGTCTTTTTATATACTTATAACGTTAATTATTATTTGAAGAATATATGTGAGTGGTTTTTGTGATATGGTATCTTTTTAGCTACGGGCATTTGTTACATACAAAAATTGTCACTTATTTGTCATAGAAATACAATAAAATACAAATCAAGTTATACTACTCATGAAAAGAGTATTGTAGATGAATAAACAATATAAAAAGTTATTTTTTTCGTAATCCATATATTGCATAATGTATTAAAATATATAAATTATTTTTTTCACGCTACGTGAGCTAGCTTGCGTGCCAAAACTTGAAATCTTGCATTTATTAGATTTTTTATAACAATAAATTTATTCATGTCATATTTCTATAAAAATCGCACTTAATGATTTTGAATCTAATTTGTCCAAAAAATTACATATTTTATTGCACCTATTTTGATTTTTTAAATACTTCGTTTTTTATTGTTATAAACGAATATGAAAATTGTTATTGTGTTTGTGTGTTTAGACGTTCACAAAAATAATCGATAGTTTTTAGTTTTTACACATTTACTTACTACGCATCTAAATATTATCAGTAAATTATTTTAGTCAACTTCACATGTTTAAATGTTTAGTTTTTTGAATGAAACGTGTTAAGTTTTCATATATGTGATAATGCTTAGCTTGTTCTTTTATAATTGAAGCTAAATTTATATACAGAAACGTTAATTACAATGCAACACGAGCGTCTGTAAAAAATAACCTCAATTTTTCTCTCTTATAAGAAATCAATCCAAATTTTAATTACAGTGGCTTATTTTCAAGATTTATTGGTGCATGTTTTTAAAGTAAGGACTATTCTGTATTTTAGTATTATTTTTATTACGAATCCACACATTATAACTCGGATGTTTGTCTTGAAAATTGCCCGATAAGCTGCGCAAATACAACGAACGAGCCGCGAGTGCTATAAAGTTTTGAATTTGATTGTAACTAACAACTAATATAAATAAATCAAAGAATGGTTTTGTGCGATTACATATATATTCATAAAATAGTTTTTCAAATTTAGTGTAAATATAGACCGTGGTATTGTCAGAAATCAATATAATACAACAACTAGTAAATATTCAGATAACACTCATATATTGTTAGCTTATTTATAGTTCATTAATAGTTAAAAGTGTATTTTACATATTGTCATAAATGTTCAAATTATTTAAAAACCCAAAACAGCAATTTTTTTTTAAATCGGTGCTATATAATTTGAATTACGGGTGTTTTTTTATGTAATGGTTGTATTATGTATAAGGGAAAAATGACGAGCGGGCTCGGTGCTCCTGCTCGGTGTTTAACGGGTGTTGCTTGTCAAAAAACGCGGGGTTCTAGTCTAGTGGTTAATCAATCTGAATCTATTAGTTAGAATTGATATCATACGAATATATAATGCAATAACAATAACTTACTCTTATAAAATATTCTCTGAGTCTGATCCTATAATTTGGTTGACTAATTTGTAGTAATATTAAAAACGAATAATATATTGTATTTTTATTCTGTACGCACTATGAAGTATGAAGACTTGTTCCTGGACTGCGATGAAGACGCTGACGTTTGTCAAACTAATTAATGAAGGCTAACTCTGTTACAGGCCTAATCATATTTCATTCCATATTACAGATTACTATAAATTGGTTAAGCTAACTTTGCAACTTATTTAAAAGGATTTATATTTTCCTACGTTGTAAAAACATGCAAAAATATTAGAAAAAACTGCCAGAAACACAATGGCGGACCGCGATTTATCACTAGGACCTCGGGAAGGAGTAACATACCCTATTAGGGTACAATACTGTGGCAATTGTTCTATGCCTATAGAATATTGCGAGTATTATCCTGAATATGATAAATGTAAACAGTGGTTAGAAAAGAATTTGCCAACAGAATTTGAAAAAGTTAAAATTGGTAAGTTTTACTTACTAATGCTTTGCAGAAAATATAAGGTTATGATATAATATCTTATTTATATTAGATGAAGAAGACAATGGTGGTGGAGAAGAAGAAAAAAAAAGACAAAAGAGAGGTGGTAAGGGTATGCTAAAATCAAAGAAAAAAGAAGATGTTCCAAAACTAGTGCAAGTTTCTAGAGCACCTCGAGGAAAAAAGAAATCTGTAACAGTTGTGTCAGGATTAAGTACTTTTGGTAAGACATTTAGCTTACACTAAGCTTTAATTATGATTACAATCTTAAAATGATTATCATTGTTTATTATATATGCAGTTACACTTTAATATTCATTACAGATATAGATTTAAAGGTAGCTGCAAAATTTTTTGGCACAAAATTTGCCTGTGGATCCTCGGTTACAGGTGATGATGAAATAGTTATTCAAGGTGATGTTAAAGATGATTTGTTTGATGTCATTCCTGAAAAGTGGCCGGAGGTAACTAATATAAAAATAAATTATATTGCTGAAAATTTAAGTGCAGATTCACAAACATTTGGTTTTTTTTACAGATTGATGAAGACAGTATTGAAGATTTAGGAGATCAGAAGAGATAGTCAAAACATTGAGAAGTCATCATTAATATACTGTTTCTGTTTCTCAAATTGTATGCGACAGTAACTATTGTATGTTTTTTATTCATGTGAAATAGAAATGAAATTTTGTCAATCTTTTATTTATTTTGCCAGCAGTTTTTTTATTAATTAAACTATATTCTTTCATGCTTTCTTGCATTTTATTCGAAAGCTACTAGTCAAGGAATCTTAACAAATATAAATCTTAAAAAATAATAATAAAATCTTAAAAATGTGGTAGAATTTTGCCATTTTATCTCGCCAGATGTCGCAATCACTAACGCCCTCAGCATATCATAAAGCTCTATAGCCTAGATGGATTTTTTTCATTTTATATAAAATTTTATTAAAATAACAAATTGTATGGTGCCAGTATGCAAAGAAAATGGATATTATTTGTTCCCAAAAGACAAAAACTGAAATCAAATCGAAATCGCAATTTTTATGTTTAAGGCTATGCGGACATCAATTTGCAAAAAATCATTTTAAAACCGTTAAATCGTCTAAAGGTGAATAATTTGTTTATTCTTTGTACTATTTTACATATTCATTACAAAGTTTCATACAATCTTTCATCCCCCATTTTACCCCTTTATGCGATTCAATTTCGAAAAATGTTAAAACATATTTATTTAATTGAATTGAAGAGTTTCAAGCAATTCTGATCATAAATAATTCTTGTTCATACATATAAATATAATTTATTAGTTACCCCCTTTTACCCTTGAAGGGATGAGTTTCGAAAAATATTGACAACGTCAAAACAAAATTTACTGTGGGTTCAAAATTAATTTCAAAATATATAAGAAAATCACATTTAAAACTTAGAGTAATAGTATAAAAGAATCTTTTAAAAGAAAACAATATCGAATATGCATATTACAAGACTTTCGCGATAAACAATAACATTCCCAAGGAGGGTTGATGTCAATCGATCGTATAACTTTTGCCAAATCCTATCAGCAGTAAGGAAGATGTATTGCGCCGACCTCAAGTGATTGGGAAATGGGCAGGGAGATGATGATAAAGGGATGAGTTTTGAAAAAAATCAAATAAATATATTTCTTATTTTTTATCTTTAAGCTGAACACCACTTTCTGTGTATTTCACATTAAGAATGACAGTTTCATACAATCTTTAATTTCCTATTTTATCCACATAGGTCATAGAGGATAAATTTCAAAAAATCTTTTATAACGGATGCCTACATCATATAAGAAATACGTCGCCAAAAATTTACGTTTTTCCTCTCAAGCAACCAACCTCTGCTTCTCAATTTTTCCTTCAGCCGGAATAACTTCTAGATACAATACATTATAAAGGTAAGATGCGAACACAATAGAAGCAAAAAACCAGATATAAAAGAGATATCACGATAAATTGCTTAACCTCTGAATGTATATAGGCCATACGTGTGGCGCCCTCCTTTCGAGAAATCTTCCCCATTGAAATTGTTAAGCAACATTGAATATACTAACGCCATCTAGTTGTGATTAAAAAAGATGTATATCAATGTTATTAGTTAGTGTATCTAAAGTTATACAAGATGGCTAGACTTGCTATTTTAATACGGAGGTAAATACTTTTTTCTTAACTAAATTTTATTATTTTTAGGTAAATACATTTTGTTTGTTAATCAATTGTTACAAATTAATATATTTTAAACAAAATATATAAAAACATTAGCTATACGACAAGCAATTTAATTTAAAATTTCATTTTCATTATGGTAACACAGTCTTTACTTCGCAAAATCAAACACAACACCAAAACACAAAATAAAATCACTTTTATACGTTTTGCGTTCGTTGTATGTTGTGTTTATACAAAGAAACAATGTTACATTAGTGTTGTTTACATATAGTGCGAAGATTATAGTTGTAAGCTAATAGGAAGTGATTAGGTGCTTAACATTATAATGTAGCGCTTAGTCAAGTTCCAAAAAAGAGTTTCAAATAATATTTTATCGATCTTTGTCTTCATTAAAAGTGCAAATTAAAGAGAAACTAAAAATGTCAGTGATTAAAGGAAAAGCTTTAGTGAAAATGGAAGTAATTCAAGTTGGTGAATATGAATTTACGAAACAAGATATAATAGGACACGGAGCCTTCGCCATGGTGTACAAAGGAAGGAAAAGAAAGGTATATACACATGACAGTTTGAGCAATATAGCTATGTTATTTTTATAGTATTTTAGCATTGAGCATAATGCCATATTTCTAAATGCGTTAGAAATATAAATTTCGCTCTACATAACGTTATCGATTTGTTTTACCCGTGGGTGTTGTAAACGTCACACCAATTGACGCTTGCTCCAATGTAGCATATTTAATACATTCTTTAGGATACGCTTTTATATTCTATAATATTATTAAGTTTTTGAATTAAGTGTTAGTAGAAATTGCAATCTTCCCCTGCTTTGGGATTTTAATGTAATATAAATATTTATATTGATGCATTATTTGACACATCCTTGAGATAACATCACTTTGAGTTTTGATTTGAATAATAGTATAAACTTAAAAAAAATATTATGACAAAAAATAATTAAAACATTGAATAACAATAATTTATTTTAATTAAAGCAAAGATCATCTTCTATGTTATAGGAAAAAAGTATCAAACTTTTACTTACTATTACCATATTTTTATGCTGTAAATTTTTTAAATAAACATTATTTATTATTATCAGCATTCTCATATTCTGTTTCTTTTTAAATATCCTATTTATCCACAATTAATTTTATTTACTGTTTACATTTGCATCATTACATTATTACACTACTCTTTCTAACATTCTATTCTCTATTGACTTTCAAGAGTACATTATACTCATATCATCCTCCTACCTTCTTTTTTGACGAGCTCTCATCTTGCTTGTCATTTCTGAGTCTGAGGTACCAGTATGCCACTATTTTACTCAATTTCTTTGTAGGTACTTACTACTAATATTCCATATTAGCACATGTTGATGAAATTTTAAAAATTATATACTTGTCAATAATATGTTAAATTAGCTACAAAGTGTTTGGCTACCACATACATATATCAGTTTTCGTTTTCTCTGTACTATAAGAAACTACTAAAGGGTTGCTCCCATGGTCAACTCTCCTATCAGACAAGTACCAGGAGCAACCCGCATGGTATACTGTCCAATGAGGTAGGTCATCCTCCAAGTACATTTTTTGGTCAATATCAGATTGAAAATATGACAACTTAATTTTTTTTAGAATTTATTTAATATATGTAATTTATACATACAATAAAATTATAACTAAGCTGAATCTGTACATTAAATATTTTTTGGAAAATATTATTGAAAAAGACATTACTATCAATCCAGAGACCGAATCTATAGTTTTTAGAATTTTTGTCTGTCTGTCTATCTGTTACCGCATCACAGAAAAACCACTGGATGGATTTTGATGAAATTGGGTATGATGATAGCTGTTTATGCGGGTCAACATATAGGACACTTTTTACTGTAGGAAAATATCTCATTTCTGAGAAAAAATACAAAAACTGCATTGTAAGAGTATACTATTACGTAAAATCTAAGAATTAGCTTTTTGGTCATCTAAACGCGGGCGGAGCCACGGGCAATGCTAGTGTAGTATATAATTTATTGTTTCTGATTATGTTTCTGTAGACTTGACTTATCTACTTCAAAAGTAAAAGCTGCTTAAGCTTAGAATCACTTGTTCCCGATCAACAGAGGAGTTCAGACAAGGGTATCCTTTATCACCAAAACTCTTTATCCATCAATCAGTTTTAGAAACAATCTTCAGAAAACTCGACTGGGACGAATTCGGCATAAACATGGATGGAAGTCGTCTGAATCACCTGCGGTTTGCAGATAATATATAGTTCTGCTGGAAGAGGATCCAAAGAAGTTGGAATGGGTGCTTAAAGACCTAGCCATAAAAAGTAAGGAGGTAGGGTTAATGAAGGAAACGAAAACCAAGTTAGTGACTAACTCAGTTAAGATAGACATACTCATCAATGGAGTTCGTTTTGATTATATTAACAACTATGTATACTTAGAACAAATAATAAGCCATGATGACCAGATGACAAAAGAAATTGATAAGAGGTTTGTCTGTGGCTGGAGGAAATACTGGTCCTTAAAAGAGACCATGAAGAGTAACTAAATAAACAAGCATATCAAAAAAAAACTTTTGATACATGAATCCTACTATGTCTAACATATGGATGTGTCATGTGAGACATGGTCCCTGACAAGGAATCATAGGAAGAAACTAGAAAAATGTCAGTGAGCAATGGAGTGCAGTATGTTGGGAGCAAAGCAGAAAGACAAAATAAGAAAGGAGACCATCAGGTCAAAAAGCCAAGTAACCTACATAACATTACGTATCGACCAACAAAAATGGAGATGGACAGGTCACTTATTGAGATCCAGCATACCTAAATGGAGTAAAAGAGTGATGTACTGGTTACCCCAGAGACGACAAACGTAGAAGAGGTCGTCAAAAAAGGTGGGAGGACGATTTGCGTGATACACTAGGACCTTTCTGGCCAAGAGTGGCATTATAATTTTTAATGTGGTTTAACAATGAAAGTCGGTAATTTCACTTTTTTTTGTTGCACATAGTGGGTTAGGACCGGTAACGATGGTATTTCAAAAAGCTTATAATAATAGGTCCTTTAGTCTTTACCTACAATAATTATCTTTTGCTCGCTATTCTATTGTTTTGGTCTGAGTTTACCCAGATGTGGATTTAGTCGCGGATTTTTTTATACACTTTAGTATACACAACGCAAATTATTTGCACGTGTCTTTAATTTACGAACATGCAGCGTGCATAATAATGCCGCTCCCTCCAGTAATTCATTTGATATTTTATAAGCTGTCGCAACTAGCAATCTCGAACTATCCTTGCCCTACTGAAATTGTGAAACTAAAATAATTAATCTTAAGCTTATTTATTGTATACTTACCTACCTACTAACGAATAACTGAAAATGTATATTACATATTTTTTTAATTTTAAATGTGATATAAAATGCAGTTTATTATTTACAATGCTCATACGGTGGTTGATTTTGGAGTTCGGTTTCATCTCTTTGTACAAATAAAACAGGCAAGACAATATGTCGCCTCACAATAACGACACGCGCTATGGTCTCCAAGGGCACTGTATCGTGTTAGAATCATATCATGATTTACACAAGATTATTGTTTAGTTATTCCATATGTATGATGTTTTAAAATATTCGTCAATTATAAATTCATTATTGTTTAAATTTATTATTATTTTAATTTAATGAGATTACACATAGAAACTTAGAATAATTTAATTAATATTTTCAAATATTGTACTAACGCGCGCACTACTTCCGGCTGACAACTTCCTTTATTTGTTTGTTCCGGTAAAAAGGGTTGGAGGGAGGTAGCGCGCGCGCAGTGGACAGTTGATTGTCGACTGTTGAGTTGAATAGACTAGATTTGTGAAATTTCATCAATATGTAAGTATAATAAATTGATTTAATTGTGGAAAAGTGTTTTAATTACTTGAGCTCTCAAAGCTCAGAAGTGGGATATAATCGTGATAGCGATTAATATCGTCCACGGTGAAAGGACTTGCCGCCCATGCAACTGTACCGATAATTTCTTTTGTTTTTTTTAGTGCAATCAGTTTAGAAGGAACTTAATTATTTTAAATATTGTATTGTAACAACTACTGGTGGTCCCAATATTAAAAAAAAATATATTCTGACTAAGTTACATAAGTTTTATATAGAGTGTGTGTGTGTGTGTTTTTTTTTGTTTTCTGTTTTCCTTAACGTCATTAGTGCCATATCCCTAGTTTATTTTGTCTGTTGCATTATGAACCTATATTATACATCATGAACTAAGATAATGCTCTAAAGGAATCAACCTTACCTAACCCTTTATAATAAGTCTAAGAATAGCTGCTTTTGTGATTTCTTATAATTTTCAGTAAACAATGGGCCGGAAAAGAAAGTCAGTCGACGTATGAGGGAGTCTGATGATTCAGAGCATAGTGAATCAGGTTCACTAGTGCGAAGAAGGCATAAGTCGCGACGACGCTATAACAAGTCGCAAACTCGTGATTCATCGAGTGGCTCTGATGTACCGCGACACTGTAGAGTATCAAAGATAAATCCAGGAGGTGTTCTGAAACGCCTCAAAGGCGTACTGTACCGCGGGGTCATAATGGTACCCCGGATCCTGGCACGACTCAAAGGCGTAATGTATCACGGGGCCGTGATGTTACTCGAGATCCTGGCACGCCTCCAAGGCGTGATGTATTGCGAAACCATGAAGAGTATCAAAATCCTGAGGAGCTGCAAAGTACACACCTTCTTCAAAATGAATATGCAGCGGGGACGTCACAGCCTGCTACTATACCAGCAGTAACACCAACCGTGAGTGCACCTCAAATTAATGTTAGTACTGATTTTAATGCTAACGTTTTAGCCTTGGCCTTCAAGGAGCTTATTCAGACCATGAAAACAGATGGGGGTAATGAACGTTATCCGGTTATGAATGTTATTCCAGAGTTTGACCCTTCCAAGCGCAATCAAACTATTGAAACTTGGTTATTAAAGGTTAATGAGTGTGCCGAAATTTACAATTGGACTGAGAGACAAATAATTCATTACGCTCTCCCAAAATTATCAGGTTTGGCACAAAAATGGTACCAAGGTCTACCTAGTTTACTGTTTTCATGGACGGAATGGCAGAATAAGTTGAAAATGGCGTTTCCAAGTGATGAAAATTATGGACAATTGCTAACAGATATGCTTGCCTGCAGGGCTAGATTTGGCGACTCGTTAGAAGAATATTTTTATCAAAAGATGGTATTGTTAAATCGTTGTAATATAGTTGGTAAAAATGCTATAGATTGCATTCTGTTTGGAATAGATGATAGATCAGTAAGAACTAGTGCAGAAGCAACACAATTCACAGAACCTGATAAACTATTAGTCTATTTAAGGAATGTACGATTAACTAGGAAGCCTGAGAAGCCAAGTCCATCCATGCAAGCAGGTAATAATGAGAATAAACAATCCCGATCGTTCAAGTCTAATCAGAATACGTCTGACGTTAAAAATAACAGATCTTATAGGCTCACTAAATGTTATAATTGTAAGG